GAGCTTGAGTTCTACCTCTGCCTTTGCTTAGGTATAGTATTAGAGACAATAAACTCATTTGTAATCTTTCCATTTTCTATTCTATAAAACAAAACTGTTGGGAAAAAAACAGCTTTTCTGTTTATTGATTGAATAATATTAGTAAACAACAGAACAACCTTTACAGGCGTATGCAGACATTGTGCTAAGTTCTTTACCTCATTCTGTGATCAATGTTCACAGTAACTCTTTGAAATAGGTACTAATATTATTCCTGCCTTACAGATGAGTAAAGTGAGGCTGAGAAAGTTGAAATAACTTGCCTAAGGTAAATCATAGAGTCAGGATTCATACCCAGTCCATCTGACTTACCATTAGTGATGCCAATGAGGCATATAAAGTTAGAAAAATGTTTAGAGTTATTTAGTAATTCTTCTAAGGGGATTTTGGATTGGTTGGTGGTTGATCTTCTTCTTTCAACTGTGGCAAGCATTAGTGAGATCTGGTTCAAATTTGTATTCCACAGCTACCATACTCACAACCTCTAGCCATTCATTGCCCTAGGCCCAGTCTTCTTGCCTGGGAAGCAGTGTCTACTGACATAGATAAGGGGAAAGAACAATCACAATTATAGAAAATGGTTATAAAGTGCTCATAAAATGCAAATAACAGTATTAAACTAATCCACTGCCTATTTCAGATCAGTTTGCTAACTTCAATATCTGTTTCTTAAAATTATCTGACATGGCTTAAGATAAGATAGTAAAGGTTTGTTTAAAGGACTTCTGACTACCCCCAAATTCCCTTTTTCCCTGCTTCTCAAAATAAAAATGAAAATGGAGATAAGCTATTCTCTTTTTTTGAGATGGAGATTTACTCTTGTTGCCCAGGCTGGAGTGCAATGGTGCTATCTCAGCTCATTGCAACCTCCATATCCTGGGTTCAAGTGATTCTCCTGCCTCAGCCTCCCAAGTAGCTACGATTACAGGTGCCCACCACCACACCCAGCTAATATTTTGTATTTTTCCTAGAGACAGGGTTTTACCATGTTGGCCAGGCTGGTCTTGAACTCCTGACCCCAGGTGATCCACTGGCCTCATCCTCTCAAAGTGCTGGGATTACAGCAGTGAGCCAGAATGCCCTACCTATTTTTTAAAAATTTATATTATCATTCAAATGATTGGGGCAATTTCATTATACGCCACAACCTTTCCAAGGCATGGAACATGACCAAAAAATAGAGAATTAATGCTTCAGCAATATATAGGGAAATTTTTGGAAGTAACATGACTGTTTTCCTTGGGCTTTGTCTTCAAATGAAGATGAAAAAGAAGATTAAGATATTTATTCTTTGTCATTGTTTCAGTTACTCTTTATATGACAAAGTGGAGTTTTATTAGTGAGTATTAGTACAATTCAGTATTCCAAGTTCTAGTCTTCTCAAAACTTAGCAAATCAAAGGGTTTGAAAGTTATTTGGTGCTTTGTAATAAGTTGATTTGTAACCTGTTTTGTTTTATTTAAATTGTTCTTCACTAGTTTTAACAGAACCATTTCATTTACTCAATAGTAATCCAGAGCCAATCTTTCTGCCTAACTCACATGAAATCCCCAAGTGAGCAAGTCTCTAAAAAGCAAGCAGAAATGAAGTGAGAGGCCATTACCTTTGATTGTTTTACCTCTGGCTAGCTGATAAGAGAGCATAATAGTCTCAAAATCTGATAAATAAATCATTGTAAGGGGAGCCTCTTTCTCCACGTTGGGGAAAAAATAATAGCTATGTTTAAAGTGTCAAATATAAATGTAGAACACTAGTCTTGAAAATTAGAATTCAACACATTAACAGAATATATGTTTGGTCTCCATTTTTTAATACTTCTTTCTCATCTTTTAAAAATTTTTTAGTTTTCTTTTTAGCATATATCCCAGTCTAAAAGGCTCCTAGGTTCTATGTCATTGTTATATATGAAATAAAAACCAAGAGTGGAGCTTATATTTGCAGTATTCTTCCAAAACATTTTTCTTCTGAGTAAAAGTGTGCTCAACAAGTGGAGATAGCTCAGACATCTGGAAGCAAGGACTTCCTAAACAAGAAGATGCCAGGGCAAATTTGTGCCACAGTCAACAGGTTTCACACTCTTGAAGGCACAGTGCCAATGTGCTTTCCTGCGCATCCTTTCTCTCTAGCATTTTTCAGGGACCTACCAGCCCTTCTCTGTCTTGCCCACTCGTACGTGATATTTCCCTCAAGTGGTGCCAAACTGTTTAGTCTCTTGGATATTTCACTGTAATTTCCTTTGTTTGATTTACTTTAAAGTAGCCAAGTGCTTCCACAAAGAAAGGACTGTTAAGTTATTTAGAAATCAAGAAGACAGTAAAACTCCTGTTTCTATTGTTACTGTTTTGGGAAGTGCCTGATATTTTTTTCCTCTTGTGGAGTAGATTTTGAAGCTATTAATCATGCCATTTTGTTCATCAGTCACCTTCTTCCTTCTGCTTATGACTTGCAATTTTAAAACATACCGCTTTTGAAATCTAGAACCCCTAAAGATTGAAGTTTAGCAAATTTATTAAAATAAAATGCATCTTCATTGCTCACTTTCATCTTCTAATTTTTTTAGCTACTCAAAATAATCATAATTTTTAAATTAATTGTTAAATACTTTGCATGGCCACCTCTCCTCACTCTTTGCTAACAGCATAATGTATAACGTTACACCTTTAAGGAATTATAAAAGTGAAATTTGAATACAGATACCAGGATGTAAAAATTACTAAGCCAATCTTTAAATTTTAGGTTTAGGACAAGAGGCAGTGGCATTTGATATCTGAAAAGGTGGATTTAAAATAGTTGTTTTAGAAATAAAATAATAATAAGAGAAATTATCATTAAATCAAAATATATTTCCAACTCAATTATATAGGCTTTGCTAAAGCCAATCAGACAGGGTACAGGGAAGTATTAATTTGTCAACTATCTACTGTCTTTGTTCACTATTGATGATGAAATTTGATAAACCAAAAAGATCTAAACATTTTCTTTCCAGTTACAGTTTTACATGGTTACATTAGGCAAAGTCCTAGAAGAGAGCCTTAAGTATTATTACCTATTTCTATTTGAGGTCATTTTATAGATGAGAAAATGAGATATGGCTTTTGCCACTAAAAAAAGTGAGGATTAAAGTACCTAACATACTCCAAATAACTTTGTAAAATATGAGGCACAATATAAATGAAAAGTAATTTTATTATGGCATGACTTCTCCAAAGTCTTAAGGTGAATTAGTAGATTAAGGTATTAAAATGTAGGTCTGATCATAAATCTGGCTAACTGTTCATCTTCAGCAAAAGTCTAAATATGTTTGAGAAAGACATGGGACATTTCCTCTTTCGTTCACATTGACTTTTAGCCTTCTCATTCTTCATTTATGTTTCTTGAGTAAAAGGTATACATAAGTGTCTTAATAATTTCAAGTAAAGAGAACTAATTTAGTATGCCTGAAAATTTAGTGATCAAAACATAGCAAGAACTAGTTGAAGTGAGTTACTTTAAATGGCCCTGGTTTTAATTTCAAAATTTTTAAAAAGCCTTAAATTTTTGAGGCTTTTGATTGGTGTTTGCTTTCTCACTAATTCCAATGCCAAAGTTTAGGTAGTAAAAATACCCTGTGGTTAGTGTAATTGCCCTTGACTTCTTTCTATTTCTTTCTTTCCTCTCTCTGAAACCGAAGATGATAAACTGGAAAGTTTTACCACTGGGATTCGTGAGCCTTGTGTTCTCTCTGCCACTTTGCAGAGATGTTAGCATGGAAAGTTGAACTCGAGATAGTGATTTTAGTGATAGACCCTCTCCCTACACCCTAGAATGCTTCTGCCCAATTAACTGGATTATGTATAGCTCTCACAACTCAAATATAATTTCTTGACTCTTGAATCGCATTACCAAGATCCTAGTGGACTTAGGTACAATGGTGTTGGCAGCTACCTATTGAGAAATAATATAAATGTAATTAATGCCTTGTAAATATTTTAAATCAAGTAAGTCTAATTTACAGCATACAGAGACACATTTTAATGTATTTAGCTAACCTAAAATGAGTCTTAGTACTTGTAGACCCCTGAGTTAAGCCAATACTGCAAATATTTTGCCATAAAGTTTGGATAAATAATAAACTATTAATATAATAATTTTAAATGTGGGGAAAAATCATGAGAAAATGACTCGGGGAATTGATCATCTTGGGATAATGTTCATAAGGGAAATTATTCCTAGAAGATCCTTGACAGTCTAATGTTAGCTCTTTTTGTCTCCATAATTTCTAATCATTATTTATGTTAAGAAGTAGAACAAAGTAAAAGAAAATTCCTTAGCATGTAATGTAAGAAATGAAAAGAACATTTCTAATTCTTAAGTGAGTAAGAAAGCTTAGTGTTTTGACTATTGGAATAAGATATAGAAAATGTGAATTAAAAAGCTAAAAGGAGGCTGGGTGCAGTGGTCACGCCCGTAATCCCAGCACTTTGGGAAGCCAAGGTGGGTGGATCACTTGACATCAGGAGTTTGAGGCCAGGCTGGCCAACATGGTGAAACTCTGTCTCTAATAAAAAAAAAAAAAAAAAAAAAAAAAATTAGCTAGGCGTGGTGGCACGCACTGTAATTCTAGCTACTCAAGAGGCTGAGGCAGGCTTGAAACCTGGAGGCAGAGGTGGCAGTAAGCCGAGATCACATCCACTGCACTGCAGCCTGAGCAACAAGAGCAAAACTCTGTCCAAAAAAAGATAAAATGAAGCCAGGCCAGTGGCTCACATCTGTAATCCCAGCACTTTGGAAGGCCTAGGAGGGAGAATCACTTGAGGTAAGGAGTTCGAGACCAGCCTGGCCAATGCAGAGAAATTCTGACTCTACTAAAAATACAAAAATTAGCCAGGCACCATGGTGTGTACCTGTAGTTCCAGCTACTGGGGTGGCTGAGGCACAAGAGTTGCTTAAGCCCCGCAGGAGGAGGTTGTAGTGCACCAAGATGGCACTGCACTTCTGCACTCCAGCCTGGGCAGTGGGAGTGAAACCCTGTCTTAAAAAATAAATAAATAAAAAGAAAAAGAAAAGAAAACATAAGCCAAAATGGAGATTTTACTGAGGGAAAATACATTTAAGGGCTAGGAGAATCATTTGAGTATAAGAAAGGAATGGCACAGATTTTTTAAGAGACAAAAATTTCTAGTAAAATTTTTAGTAGCCGATTTAAACAGTGGATTTCCAACTTCCTCTCTACCCTCAATGTCAGAAAACCTATGGAAAATGTAGTTTAAAAATATCAGTAGGAGCTTTATCATCACTTGAGAATAAAGAAACACATCATCATCATATTCCTTGCCTAGAAAACTTCCTCTCGGCTCAAGTATGTCATCAGATCAGACCCTGTGCTATGATTCTGCTCCTAGGACACCAAACGCTGGGGCTTTTTTGAAACCCTGCCTTAGCTATCCTAACTTCCATAACATTTTCATAGACCATCCTCTTACCTATCTTATCAATTAATACCATAGCTAACATTTTAGTTATCTGAGATTTTATTTATATCTGCTCAGATTGCAAGTTGTGAATGTTTGAGACTTCACTTTCCTTGCAGGATTCTAGCTAAAACATGGCAAGGAGGCATAAATCTTTTTCTGTTTAATTGTAAGGATGGAAGTGAAAAGCAAAGAAAGTTTTTGTCAGTTGGTGGTAGTTGAGTTTGGGTTTACTTTTAAAAGCTGTCTGCAATTTTCTTGGTCATTTAAGAAATGTGTTGATGTGGGGACTTTTAATAGACCATCTTGCTTTTAAACAATGCTGGGATGGGTAATGACCTCATTGGTGGGCACAGCACAATAATAAAGATGGAAAAATTTTTTTAGTATTTTCCAAAAATGTAAAGTTATGGAGTATTCTTAGACTATCCAATGACAATATGCATTTCTGGTATACTTTTGTGTGATGGTGAGAAGCTAGAGACCTTCTACTGGGTCACTAATGAAATGGACTCCAACTCCCACTCTGGATCTTTCACTCATAATCCACAAGGATTAATTTAACCAGCCAGATGCTACCCATTTGCCAAGCTGAAAGGACACAGTGCCCTCCCTGCCTGTAGCCCTTGTCTGTTGTGATTGCTACTGCTGGCTCCATTCTATAAGTGAGTCAGATGATTTAGATACATATATGTTTACTAACGCAATGAGTATGTTTTTCTTGGCCAGGCCCAGTATATTATTTGTGTTCTTGACAGAGAGAGCTATCACTGGAGTTTTTTCCTGTTGTGTTTTAACACTCAGGAACTGGTTGTGCAAAACTTGTTTGCATCTTTTTTGTGTATTGCATGGGAGCGTCCTTGAGAACACCTTGTCAAGATTTACTAGTATTATTTTTTTAAATATTTAAAAATCAGTATCATTTAATTTCAGTGAATTTGCTTCAATTTATTGGAATTAATTACAAATACTTTTGTACTTATACTTTCTTTTATATATTTAAAGTATTAAGATAAAATTATTGCCTAATGCTGTATTATATGTCTGACATAGTAAAATTTGCAAACTCAGAAAGGTCACATATTGTTTATTAAGACTCTTTAGCGCCCTAAATACAGTGCTGAAATAGAAGAACCTTGTCAAAAATAAGCAAGTAGGAAAATACTCTCTTTGTTTTAAAAAAGTTAAATACATTGGGTTGAGCTATTTTTTGTAAAGTTAATAAAGGAGGAATAGAGATTAGGAAAAATTCAGGAAATTCCGATCACTGCTCTTCAGATTTCACCACATGATCCAGGACTTCATTTTCCCAGAAAACTCCACATCTGCCCGAGGGAACATTAGTTATGAGACAATGCAGAGATGTCTAAGGCTTATTTCCTCACTTAAAATTCATTTGCTCTCAAAGTTTCCTGTGGTACCAGGATAAAGCATTAAAAGAGTTATTCTCTTTAAGTTATAGCTATTTCTTATTTGCATTTTGTTAGATCCAATGTAGCATGGTACTGAAACATATTTGAAGTGTCCCTTCCTGCATACACAGTGCTCTCACTTGTGTTCTCATATGACACTCACCCTGAGGAAGATCTCACGTTGTATCCCCGTTTTCAGATGTGAAACTGACGTTCAGGAAAGATAATCGATTTATCCAAATCCTTTACCTACTAAATGCAGGACTTAGAGTCAAATCTTGTTCTCTTTTCTCAAAAGTTGAATAATTTAAAAATAAAAGTTAAAGGGAAATCCACAGTGTAATGTATTATATTCTTGTATAACTTGTTAACAAAACATATCATCATAGAATTTTAAAGCTAGAAGTCAACCAAGTCTTGTTTTTCAGACCTCAGTTTAGATATCATCTCTTTAAAAAGACCTTCTGTAATTACCGTAACTCAGCAGCTTGTTGGTTTTACAATATACTATCACAATTTATGGTTTCTGGTTTTGATCATGGAACTTGGTTTTTACTTACATCTTTCATTAGACTGTAACGTTACTGAAGACATAAATTGTGTCTACCTTGTTCACCAGCAAAGCCCCAGCAGTTAGAATAGCTGCAGGCACATGGTAGGCATTAGAATAAATACTTTTTGATCAATTGCATGAGGTTCAGAAACTTAATCTAATTTGTTCAGGACCAAGTATTTGTTAGTGGCAAATCCATTAGAACCCTGGAATCCTGTTTCCTGTTGTGCTGCAACGGCTACATGCCTGCCATGCCTAATTCCAGCTTCCCAATTGTTAGGTTGCATGAGAAATCCTCATCTGGTTCCCAATGACTCCCCAAAGTACCCTGAAAAAAAGGAAAACTTACTCCTTCCCTTCTCCTTCATCCAAAGTCAGATAACAAAGAACAAAGTTGTGAGGGACAAATGCTTTCTTCTGTGAGCAGAAATGGTTTTGGTTAAGGTTTTTGTTTGTTTGGTTGGCTTTTGGTTCAGTTTTGCACTATTTGGCTTACCATCCTCTCAAAAAGTCTGCATCCTGTGGGCAAGAATCTAAGCCCTTCAGAGACTGGCATTGGCTATTCCACACTCTGTGGAGAGCCTACTTATGAGCACATGTGTCAGTAACTTCGCCATTCTCCATATGTGCTGGAGAATAGCAGCCTAATTATCTGCCATTGCTTGGTTATGTTTTTTGTTCCTAGCATATTGGTGACACTCCTCTCACCTCAGCCACATATTCAGTTAATTCATATGTGTTACCACATTGGTTTCAACTGTGAAAATCTGAGCCAAAATACTTGTTACAGTTATCCTTATGTCAGGCAGATTTTGGTCATTCATGGCTTTTAATCAATAGATTAAAAATTGTAAAGTGTCTTAATTTGAGAAAATTGGCTAAACCAAGGAAGTATGAATGGATAGTTACCAACAGCTGGATTTCTCCAAACAGACTGTTTTGTATAGTATGGCTTAAACATAAGGCCATGTTGAGTTATGGAGGTTTTCATTTGACTTGCTTCATCTATCTTTCTGACAATTCTGGTTTAGGCTTCTTAGACTGGTGAATAATCTAAATGTCAACCAGAGAGTCTGAACTTCTATGAGTAACTCATGTGTCACATAACCTGTGTGACATAGCACTGCGTCATACCTGCAGCAGCATACTACTGCTGTCAACAATGAAGAGAAAGGTGTTTAGGTATCAAAGAACCAACTGAAACTTCCACCCAAAAGCAAATCCAAAGTGAGAAAGGTGCCATGAGCTCATTTTAAAATTTTAAATTATTTAAATTATTTTAAAATTTACAGATAAAACCAACTTCAAGTACAAATTCTGCAGAAGAAGGAGCACACACTAGGTCTCAGACACCTTGTGAGCCACTTTACATTTGTTATTCCTAATCTTCCCATTTCAAAGATAGAAAATTCTAGTCTCTAAGAGACTCAATGATTTGCCAAGTTTCTTAGACTAAGTTACAGTACGTATATTTTATTTCCAGATTCAGTTGACTTTTCAGATGCTCCTATGTCATGCTATTATGATGCTGGTTTAACTGTAACTCTGGTAAGGCAAACCTGCAACCAGCACCTCCTCTACTTCGTGTTTGCAGTAGAAGCTGCCTTTACAAAGCTTCCATGAACCCAAGAAACCTATATATCTTGGGGTGCATTGTCATTCAAAGCATCTCTCCATCTCTTCTAAATTATGATAACTAATAATAGAAAAAAATACATAACAAGCATAACTACCTTTTTAAATAGGATAAAATTACATAAGACGTAGCTTGTGTCTATGAAATTTATGTCTATTTTATAACTATGTTATGAAACTATTTTTGTCTTTTATAGTTTAAAAATATGTGCAAACCGCCAATCTGTAACAGATTTTTCTCAATTTGCCAGTGCATACTCTAGCCTAGGGATTAATGAAATATCAAAACAGATAGTAATATATACATTTTCAGGGAACAAAAGGGTGGGTCTATGTAGCCCAAAGTTTTTTTTTAATTTATTTGATAGACCCTAGAGTTGATCTTGAAAATTGCCAGATTAGTAGGCTGTCCCAGCCCTGAGAAACCACTAATCCTGAAGCACCAATTCCCAGGGCAGGTTTGGAAGCACTCCATTGTTTTTCACCTCAAGAGCTGTATGAAAGTCACCAGCTGAAATCCACACAATTACTATTAAACACAATGTATTCTACATGATTATTTTAGGGGGTGGAGTAATAATCTCAAAAACAAGCTATGGTAGATTTTTGTAGCTGCAAAAAATATTAGATAATTTAATAAGGCAGGATTTAAAACAACCTAAGAGGTACTATAGACTCAAAATGAAATTCAGTTCTTAAAGAGAATCATGACCAATACGTATGAGTTATGAAAAGAAAGTAGAATATTTGGGTTGTAGTTTCCCTGTTCTGTGTAACTACTTTCAGGTCAGATATGAAGGTCCCAAAACATAGGTCCTATTTTTCACTAGTCAGGAAAGGACACTAGACTGCATGGTGTATGGTCTGACCCACGAAAAGTCTTCTGATTGTTGAAAAATACTATACGTTGTAGAGCTTCTAGCTGTGAAATGTTTCGAAAGAAACATTTAGCCATCTACTTTGGAATCATATTAATGTCCTGTGGTCTTAGAATTGGCTCTAGAAGTTTTCAGTTAAATATTAGCCATTACATCTGCACACAAAAAAAGTTGTAGAAAGGCTTAAATGGAAAAACAAAAGAGTAAATGAATAATGTACCTTAATTCCTTGATTTTTTAAATTGTTCTCAGTTACTGTGATAATTTTTGTCGTCTGTTGAAAAAGGCTTCTGCTATATTTAATTATCACACCATCATCTCAAGTCTTCAAAATTCCTTTTTTTTTTTTTTTTTTTTTTTTTTTTTTTCTCTATTAACAGACAGAGTAAAAGGGAAGGGTCAAGTATATGAAATAAAATTGTGAAGCTCCAGGAACAGTTTTAGGCCTTATGTTTCTCATTGGACGAAAAGGCTTCTGTCAAAAAGAAAAGTTCGAAAATTTTAAATTATCTGAAAATATATAGTGCCCCTAAAACTAGCATATATATGAGTGTATGGCCTGGAAATCCCATCTCTTCATAGGCTATTAGGACATGCAGTATCAGAACCATATTTACAGAAAAAAAAAAAAAAAGATAAAGAAAATTGTTGTTTATCTGAAATTCAAATTTAACTGGGTGCCCTGAATTTTTATTTGCTAAATCTGGCAACCTTATATATGTGGAAACATACATATAGTTTATAAATATTATATATGTAGTTTAAAATGCATAGTGAATGTATCAGTCTTTAGGTATAGTTACAGTATCTTTTGTCCATTTGATTATTACACCGCTACAGCAACTTTCAGAGTTAAGACAATGTTCAATCATGAGAAATTGCTATAAACATTCTTATGAGAATCACTTTGGGTCTAGGAAATGTCAGTTTTTTGGTGTTTCAATAATGTGTGTTATATCATCTCTTGAGAAGTTTTCAGAAATTCTGAGAAAAAAATGGACAGCAGAAAAGGGTTAGATAGATAGGAAGAAATATCTAACAATTTGGAGAGCTGTTCAAGCCCTAATCTCAAGCTGTTGAGTAGATATATTCAAATTTGTTTGATCTTTTGATATTTTTCAATTCTGAATTAAGGCACTGATGGTTTTTCTCTGCTTTGCCTTTTAATATGTCACTTAAGCAGATACTTGTCCTTTAACCAGTAAGTAGAATTGATTCTACTTCTGCTTCATCCTAATTTTCGATGCGGAATAATAGTAGATGTATTCATGCGTGGTTTTCATTAGATACTTACTTATTGATTACTACATCTCTGGGCAGTTAAGAAAAGAATCACTCAATTCTAATATGTTTAGAAGAGTTTCTTTCTGATTTGGCACAGGGACAGTGAGAATGACCTCACTGTGTTTGTCCCCTGGCACATCAAAGGTTTGCTGCAGGTGTTAGTACAGCAGAACTTGTTTGCTAAGATGACCCATTATGGAACTCTAGCTGATTAAGCAGATATTAACGGACAATTGCATGTCCATTATTACTTCTTTGACCATATTACCAACTCAACTCAATTTTGCTTGCTTTTCAAATAAGACAAACCTGTCAATAAAGAAACTGGACATCAAGTTTCAAAAAATTGGTAGAGTTTATAGGGAAATGTAAAAAGGAGGGAAGAGATGATACACACATTGTCAAATATTCTGAAATGTTAAGAATTGTGGAAATTGTAAGTTTCGTAAGGAGTTTTAGACAAAGGACACTATAGCCCCATTTTGTTTTTTCTTTTTCATTTTAGACTTAGATTTGCTTTACTTCTTTGGGTCTTCATTTCTTCCCATGCAAAATATCTGTACGTCAAAAGGAAGGTTAGAGGTTAGCCATTTTACCACTAAAGAAACTGAGCTCCAAGAAGTTAGCTTACCCACGATTACACTTGTGGTTAGCGCCAGAGCTAAGACAAGGATAAACTCTGTTGACTTCGTTTCTCACTAAACTGTACCACTGCAGTTTCAACTTCTTTCTACCACTGCCAGCATTCTGTGCCTTCAGGAGGAATTTTCAGCCTCTTCACTTTCCTGATGCCCAGGAATTCTTTTTAAGTTATATGACTAACAAAGTATAAAATATGAGTCAAGAGTTAGTCCCTAATAAAGTCATTGTGACTTTAATGACTTCGGCAGTTGTTTCATACTGCAAAAACAGGAAAATCCCACACAATAAGGCGCCTGTCTAACAGCTGGGCTCCTGCGTAGAAGGCCACCCACAAGAGTAACTAACTGCTGGGGCTGCCTTCCTCTCTTTGACACCTTTTTATGCCGTTCTTACTGTTTTCCCCTATTGATCTCATGAGGTTATCAATGAGAGGAAGGTACCCACTTTAGCTAGTCTTTGATAGGCTGAAGAATAGTTTTGATCACTTAGGATTCACTCCTAAGTGATTTTTCAGTTCACCTTCAATAGGCCTAACTTAGTCTTAGAAGTAGCTCTTTGATAGGCTTTATACTAGCTTCGTTATCACTCTTCTGGATTGTTTTATTCTCAAAAACATAAAATCGCCAAATTTTAGATGTGAGAACACCCCGCAATCATTCCAGTTCACTCCTCCTTTGTGATTAGTTTAACTAAAAACTCATTATCAAGATAGTACCTATCTTGCCTATGGATCTTGCGTAAAGCTCAAACTAGTTCTCCCATGAGAAATATAGAAAAGTAAGGAAGTGTCCTATCAATTCAGAAGAAACTGGCTCAGAAGAAATAATCTCTGTATGCAGTGTTGAAACTAAAACAAAACGGAAGCCATCAAACAAAATGTTCCTACCAAGTGTAATTGAATTTCAGCTTTTGTTACTTATTCTCTACTTTTAAAATGACTTTTCACTATTAAAGGAACTTATTCAAAAAAAATCAGACAATTTTATAGAAAAGGTATATTCTAGGCAAATAATATTAAATCACTTATATAGAAAATATACATACTTCCCTTTTCAAAAAATAGCTGCAATTTCTAGCAGTATATGTGAATCTCGTGTTGGGCATCTCCTTAAAAAGGCATTGGAGGAATTTTTATTACTAAGAGTTCATTCATAAACTTTGCTTGTCTGTGTTGAAAAGGGGCATTGGTCATTTACTCTGGGGACATTATTTCTAGGTAGGCTCTGACAGGGTTTTCTTGTGAAGGCAGATTCTTAGGAAAAATAGTATCTGTGTACATGAGACAGTAGAGACACATTTATCTTTAAAATAGTGTGTTCCTGTTTATGGATTTCTCTACTGCATTTGATAAAGTAAATAACACCCATTTCCTTTCAATTCAGTAACTCCTTGGGATACAGTTTTACCCAGGAGCTATTTTACCTTCAAATCTGGACAAAACATGTAACTTAATAAATAGAGAGACTCCAAAAGTCTTAGACTATAAAACTCTGAGGAATGATAAATGCTGCTCTTCCTTTGTTACGGTCTGAAGCATTTTCAGTTTGAGTTGTTTTCCTCAGTCATGTAGAGGGAGTTTTGTTTTCTGGGAAGTCTTGGTTGCTGGTAAATAATGTGTCCAAACTGTAGGAGGCAGCCACAAAATTTATTATACAGTATAAAAGGTTAGGGTTGAAAGGCTGAGATCCTAAAATCATGCATCATTCTCATTTTACACATGAGAGGTGATGTGACTACACAGGAGAGTGAGAGCTGAGACTGAAAAGTCAAGATCCGTCTACTGCTACTGTGGCTGCCTCTGGCTCACCAGAAACACTCCTATGTGGGAGTCAGATGCTAAAAGCCCAACTAAGCCTAGATCCTCCACTGTCTCCTCAGGCTTAACCTCAAACGTAACTCGTATCTATTCTATTTCTTAATGTGTCTCATCACACAGTTAAACACTAGTCATACTAACTGGACTCTACATAAACTAGAATGTAATAGATACCCTTCCATCCCCAGCCCCCCACTGTCTGCTCCTTGAAGGCCATTTCTGCCTTTCTTAGTTGTACAGAGCCCAACATAAATGGGCCCTTCATAAGTGCTTTTTGATGAGAGCAATGATTGCCTTCCTCAGTGTGGTTGGGCCCTCCCTTATGGAGAAGGGAAACCAACAGTCGTTGCTAAGCAACATTAAAGGACTAGGTTAGTTTCTGACACCAAGTGACCGCCATCTGCATACTTCGCCATGTTTTGTGTTTTACGGTTGCCTTGAGATGACTTTGCTTTTTGGTAGCATTACCATGCGCTTAGCAAAGACTTATAGACGAACTAGTTTAGACCTCGGAAGAAGGAAGGTGATATTCATCTGTTAATGTTTTACATGGGTACACTGATCCCTTTGGTAAACTATACGAGAAAGGTTAGGAGTTTGGTTTATTTTCACCCCGCAGCTGTGAGCCACCTCCCTGATCTCATATTGGATGTGATTGACAGTGTATCCTAACAGGGTCCTATGGCAATGGGAGGCTGTAGAAAGAAAATAAACAGAGAAGTCTTTCCTCTTACAGCCTTTTATGATTCAATTTGTACCTGCCCCTATCTTCTGAGCAGAGATGCTGATATAGCTAATAAAGAATGGGCCCTATATTTGCTGTTGTGGTTAAACAACATGCCCTAAAATACCTATTTCTACTAGAATGAAAGCTGATTAAAAGCAGGAGAAGAATTTTTGTTTGTTCCTTTGTTATTGTTGTTGTTTTCACTGCTATATCATCACTGTTTTCCCTGAACATTTTAGGTATTCAATAAATAGTGGGAAAATAAATGAAAAAAAAGGGCATTATTGAACTAACACAAACCCAATTGACTCTAAAATGTTCCTAAGTATTTCAGAGAGACTAAAGGAGGCAAAATGAGACGATTGTTTGAGCGTTACATTTGACTAAGTCTAGTGCAGAGAAAATTATGGAAGAAATTATCTGTCTCTAAGCTTTTTGCAAGATATTTTTACGATGATCCAAGTAAAGTTTACCTGTCTGCCAAAATTCAGTTTATCAGTCAGAGCATATAAACCTGTCTTCTCCAGCTTCTGAGTCTGCAGCGTGCCTGTCTTTTGAGGATTAAAATGAGAGGTGATTGTGACTGAGCAGTTGTGTCTTTAAAAATAAATAATTTGGAATTCATGCGATTCACCTGGAGTTCAAAATTGCACAGAGGTTCAATAAGTAAAACATTCTAGCTGAGATGATTGATTCAGAGATGCCTAGTTACTAACATATTGTATAATGGGAAACACACACATATGCAAGCAGGGTTACCCAGAAAGAGGGTGATTGGACATCTTTGAGAACAATGCATGGTGCAGTGAGCCAGCAGGCAGAAATACTGACTTGCATTGGCTTCACTTCCAAAAGCAAGGTCTCCTAGGCACAGGCGATGGCAGGACCCGGGGCTTGGATACTTGAAATAAAGCTATTGTTGGATGCGGATGCTCATTTGAAAGGGGAATGCCTCACAGGAAAAAGAGCCAATTGCAAGTTGGGGCTGTTGCCATGGTGCTTTGCTATTCCTTCAACTTGTTATAAATGAAATCCTGGGAGTCCAGGGGTAGGGTAACCTGGGGAGAGATGAGGGAAATGAGATGAGCCTGGGGGCAGGAATCCCACTGCAGTAAAGCTCTAGTGTTTCCTCTTGCGTGTGCTCTAAGGCTGACAGGAGAAGGGAGGGGCTGGGAAGAAGGGAGGGAGAAAACTGCCGGGAAGGAATGACTTTCGCAGCATGCCCGGGATTGCTAAGATAAAATAAAAATTAATTTAAATCCTCAGATTTCTAATGTGAATTGGAAGATGTAACACTAAATATCAAACAAGCATAGTCACTCATAACCCCAAGTAATTCACCATTCTTTCGGTAAATGAATGTTCATATTTCCTAACACACTCTCAATACTGGATGGAAAGGTGAAAAGAGTTTAATACATTTGTCTTATGCAATCCAACATGCATATTAATGAGCTGACGAAGGTAGAAACTTGCAGGCTGCATAGGAAGTACTTTTCAAATGAAATAAATTAATTTCATTCCCATTCATTTTACTATGAAAAGAGGCTAAGTGCATTGGCATACGTTTGGTGTACGACAAGTAATCCTCCAAAAAGCTAGTTTTCAAAAATTCTTGCGTACCGGCAGCCTAGTCTGAAAACAGCGACAGTCCTAACCTTTTCGAAATGTTTGTTTAAGTGTTCAGAAGTCGGTTAATCAAATGCATCATCACTTTGATCAATTAGAGCGGCTGGATTTTTGTGCAGAGGCTGCATCTGCAGAATTCTGGTCTGCAGTGGAGAGAGAGGGTTAAGGAACACCTAGTTGAAATGGGGGAGGGTACCGACTTCAGATTTACTTAAATATTCATGGGGCTTCCTCCATTTTAATCTTCTCCTTTTTAAAAGATGGCTGTGTTTCCTAGTCTGGCAATTCCTCAGGAAAGAAGAATTGCTTCTTCCTTGCAGAGTTCAGCTGAGTAGGACTAATGTAGAGTGGAAACCCCTTCGGCCACCAGGACTATTCATAATTCTTAAGTGCTTCAAACCAGCCAGCTGAATACATTTGGACAGGCTCTTGCTCCTTCGTGCAATTCCTGATTTCATTACTCTCTTCTGCCAGGAAATAAGCGAGGAGCATAGGCTTCTTGCAAGAATGGAGTGCGAAGATGGGCTTTGTTTGGCTTAGGAAATGCCATACATTTTGGAGGTTTTGTCTTTTCTAAGTTTTGATTATTTTGTCACTGGATCTGCAGGGCTTTCCTGATCCTTTCGGGATTGCTCTCTCAGAACTGTGAATTCTTTCAAAGGGATTTGTGGATTGTGGCAAAGAGAGCATTCCAAAATGCCTGAGGCAAATTATTTGTTATCTGTATCTTGGGGTTACATCAAGGTGGGTTAATTTAATTGTGTTCTGTGTCTTTGACAAAATGTGAAACATTTACCTCTGTGTTTTCTGTGAAGTAGAGGACATCTGTAATGATTTAATTTGTGTGTTCCTTTAACCCACTGGGACCTCTTATTTTGAAAGAAGAGCATGTTATTTTACATTTTATTTCAGTGTACTATGCTGTGTTTTAAATGTATTCTTTTTACTTAACTCTGTTTTTTAAAAGATGCTTTTTTCTTTTTTCCTTAAACTTTTCACATATAATCTCCTGTCACCAAATAGGTTATTAAATTATATTTTAGAGGTAATTTCTGACAAATGTATTTTTAAAAGTAGTTACAGTTTCAAGTGGAGTGATCTTGACCTCTATTAAAATTCCTTTTCCTATGTTTGCATCTTCAAAAGTAATCAAATGTTAATTCTAAGAAATCTTAAGAAAACCTCTTTTCCTAAAGTGACGTTGGAATAATTTCAAATTGAAGAGATATGTTTTGTAGACACAGTGTTATTTATCTAATGTTGTCTGCTCATCCAGTCTCTTGATTCCTGGACAGTAAAGTTGGAAACACTTAAAGTGAACATTTGCTCTTTTTAAAGTGTTTAATGCATTTTTGTTCTTTATAAACAGTTCAAAAGAATGCTGAACCGGGAGCTGACACACCTCTCAGAGATGAGCCGATCAGGGAACCAGGTGTCTGAATACATTTCAAATACTTTCTTAGGTAAGATATTAACTGGAAAAAAACCTGTTTTATAACTGGGGTTATAAAATTAATTTCTACAACCTATCAAGGACATCCCCATGTGAATTTGGGATGGAGCTGAGTCATAGAAAAAATCCATTTAACATAATAACTAAGGCCAGTCTTCAAAAGAAAAAAAAAAAAATAAGCAGGAAGATCATCATGTTTTTGAAAAGAAGAATTAAAATACCCATCCAAGAGAGAGGGTTATTATGGGCTAATTGTATTTAAACACCTTGTCTGCCTGCCCACTTCCATCTTTGCTAAGACCTCTGAAGTAATGAGGGAAATCCAATCATCCAAGCCCTAGAGGCAGTGCCATTGGCTCCTCTGACAGGGTACTCTTTCAATTCTTTCAATAACTGGGCTTTGAGCAAAAGGTTTCCTCTATGATGTTTTGAAGGGTATATGGCTGAAGAATAATTCTATAGTGATTTGGTCTGTGAGAATAAGCTTTGGAAATACTTTGGCTATTGTTTAGCTAAGTTATTTAGGATGGTAAGGGGGAGAATTTTAATATTATCTGAAGGATTTCATCTTCTGCAAGCAGCCTCATTATCTTCCCAATCTGATACTTTATCTATTGTCTGTTGTTACATTACTGGTATTTAACACATGATATTGACCAAAAAGGATTACATGAATGGTCCTCAACTATTGTCATGCATGTTATTTGATTATCTGGGATTTTTAAATTCGGACTTAAAGGCAACTATTGTATAATGAACCTATTTGGACTGTTTTGATTTAAGAAGTCCTACAGAACCTGCAAGCCTGTACATCAAAATAACTGGATGGCATTTAGATTCCGATTCTGTTGCATCCTCTCTTCTTTTTGGCATAGCCATATAGCATTAAATCAATGAGCATTTTCCTTGATGCCTTATTGAAGCAAATACCTCTTCTGGTTTTATTTCTAAAATCAATCCTGTTTCTCTAACACCAAAGCAGTTCTTGCTATCAGCAGATCAATCAGCCCTCTCTTTGAGCAGCCTCATGCAGAGCTTACTGTATTACTCTGCAGCAGATGGTCACCAGACATGATTATCAAGTGCCTTTCTAACTGTTTCTAGTATGTGAATTTCTGCAGCACATGATTTTCTTCAGCTGCAGTTGCGACACCTTTGTCGAAGAACAAAGGAGAAGAATTTTCATCCATCCTAGCTCCCAGAGGTGCCTAGAATCTAACTCTACAGAAAACATTACACACTGATCGTTTTCTTCTCTCTTTATCCCTTTGAAGACAGGGATCTTCTGCAGAGCAATTTCAGATATACCCTGGCTTGTGTAACGCCCAATTATTTTTCATTAGCTGGGAGCTGTTTTAGGGACATTTTACCAGTTAATGACTGTGGGAGATGAGAATAAAATCAATACTGCAAGAATCCATTTTTGTCTTCCTAAGCATTGCATTTTAAAATATGAGGGCTTGAGGACTTCTCAGAAGAGACTCTTACTACTGGAGTTAAAGTTATATGAAATCCCTGAAACCTTAATCATCCAAGACTGGACCTAAGCAGTCTTCTTGCTTTATAGTCTCTTTCAGTAGCTGCTTACCAAGGACAACAGGAATATCTTAGTCTACTAATTAATCTTTTTTATCATTATAGGCAACCAAGAAAGAAAGTTGATAAGATAATAAATATAATTCATTCCTCAGAGTAGAAAAAAATAAAAAGGAAAATTTAAAAAGATACTAAATATGAGCTCTCAGTCTCAACACTGTCTTAAGATCAGGCAAACGTCAACTCTTTCTTGCCTATTCTACTTGCTATTTACGTAGATCTCTTGAGGAAAATCAGTCATTTGGCTTCTCATTGTTCTAAAAATTAAATTCAAGAGCAAATTGTTGAGGAAGATTATTAGAATCTCAATATTTACAAACTCTTAGCATTAGGAGGGTGGTGTATGTGAGTAGGTGTATGTGTTTGAGGGTGTATGTGGTAAACCCCATGAAACAGAATGGACAGGCAGATTAGAATTTTAAATGTTTTTGAGAAAACAGAGAAAGAAAAAAACCTATCATATTACAAAAGATGCATCAGTTGCCTCACCTGTAAAGTGGGAGCACTGGTATATATGACATCTCATATCCCTTCCAAATCTAATTTCCTATGACTCTGATATGAACTGAGTTTATCAGTTTTGCTAAAAGACATGCCTGGCCACCTAGATTTTCTGTGGTGAACCCTAGGCTTGTAATTTGACAATCTTAAAAAACAAACACATGAAGCTTGTTTCCAGACTGCCTATGCAGAGCATGGAACTTTCAGTCTTAACCTGTGAGCATGGTGAATGTGCCTGGAAGACCATGAAGCCTTCTTCATAAACTTACAGATCTCCAAGGGAACCTAAAACCTTGTAGTCTAATTCTCTCATTTTATAGGAGAGAAAACAGGGGGGACCAGAGGGATGAAGTAACTTGACCAAGATCGCTTGGCTAATATTTTCCTCAGTCAGAAGTAGGACTTAGCTCTCTTGACATCTAGACCTAAATACCTTGTCAATTCTTTAACAAGGAAAGAAGGCTGTTAGGAATGCAGAACATATAGAAGAAAATCAAATAAGGACTCTTAAGTAATACTTATAATATTTTGGCAACAAGTCTTTAGGAATCAGGATGGTTGGACCCAAAAATAAAATGTTTACTAACAGGCTGGGTGTGGTGGCTCATGCCTGTAATCCCGGCAATTTCGGAGACCGAGGTAGGCAGATCACTTGAGGTCAGGAGTTTGAGACCAGCCTGACCAACATGGTGAAATTCTGTCTCTATTAAAAACACAAAAATAGCTGGGCATGTTGGTGCATGCCTGTAGTACCAGCTACTCAGGAGGCTGAGGCAGGAGAATCACTTGAACCCAAGAGAAGGAGGTTGCAGTGAGCCAAGATCGCGCCATTGCACTCCAGACTTGGCGACAAGAGGGAAACTGTGTCAAAAAAAATGTTTATTAACAGTTTCCAATAATCGGAAAGGTCCTTGTAAGACCATAGCAACCATCCCAGTGAGCACAAAATAGATCTTAGTAATTTACCTTAAACCTGAAGAGCAATATCTCAATAGTAGCCATTAAATGTTAAAAATGTGTCATCCAGGGAGGAGGGAAATCCCTTAATCTAGAGATATGTGAAACTTGTGTTGTTCCTATCTTTAAAGAAAAATGGTGCAGGGAGACAGGGAGAAAGGCCGGCAGCAGACTCTATTTACCAGTCCAGACACTCACTGATGCTGTCGTGTAATGGGCTCCTGGTTGCTGGTACAAGGGGAAATAGAAGTGTCTAATTTCAGGGGAAATAAAGCAGGACCTAAGGAGGAGGAGAATAAATAATGCAAGATTTTTAGATGTTATATTACAATTAGTTAATATTTTCATGAACAGAGAAAAGTCATCCTTTTAAATCCTCTACTTACCATCTCAAAAGCTAGAACTTAGAATTTTCAAGATGCAAGGAAAAGAGCTTAGGAATTTTGCATAATTGAAAAGTGTAATCTAGCAAGACATGAACCTCAAATTATGCCAGTAACAGAATTTAGACGAGACTAATTTTTGTATCTGCTTTTTGTTTGTTTTATACTAGCCAACTGTTTGCCCACTGTATTCTGACCATTCCATAAATGTAAATTCACTCACTGTTTATTGTGATTTTTTTGAGTCTGAATTTCTGATTATTTCCACACTGTGCTGGCTAAGCATTTAATAGAGGAAATTCAGAATAGGGAAACCTATCAGTTGTTCCAATGCCTGCATAGGGAAACACCCATTAATGTCAAGTTGGCACTCTTTGTGAATAATAGTCTTCTTCTTTACTGCAGTGTTCCAGACACAGTAGTGGCTCAGCTCAGTTACTCACTGGCGCAGTGAATCTTTAATTAAACAAAGGGAAAAAGCTGCTAGTCTTACTAGAAATGGTTATATGTGCAGTGACACAGGAGAATCTAAGAGCCTTTTTAACCAGAGGTAAAGAATGGTGGTTAGAAAGGCAGGTCCTATTATGGCCTTTCATTTTAGCAAAAAGTAGTATAATAGACGTTAAAGTGACAGGGAAAAAAGTAAATTCAAAATAATATAATATATGGTTTCTATGCCAGAGATTGTGTGGCAGGAAAGAGATTTTTAACAGGAACCTCAAGGCCTGGGTTCTATGCTATTAAATCACTGTGCCTGGAACAAAGTGATTGCAAAATAAATATCTGTTAAATAAATTGCCCTTTGAGCTTGGGCAAGTTGCTGACTTCATCTGAAAAATGAGAGTGTGGGATTGTTATTGGTTCTCAAACCTGGCTCTGATTATCCAAGTCACTCGGGAATCTTTTTTAAAAATACTGATTCAGTAGGGTTGGGTGGGGTTGTAAATCTGTATTTTTCTGAAGTTTCCTGGGTGCTTCCAATGGTGGACTAGGTTGGAAACCCCTCAACTAATTGAGATGACCACTAAAATTCCTTCCTAAGCAAAAGTCATAGGCTTGTGAGTGTAGGTGCTTGTGGAACCTAGGGACAATATTGAGACGTTAGGGATGGAGAATTCCCTTGCTTCAGCCCCACAGAGAAGTAGTGAGGTGTACACAAAGCTGGTACTGTCTCACCGTGCTTGCTTTGCTCTGACGAAGTGTCCACAGGGACCTATGAGCAGCCAGAGGTCTCTGGGGAAAACATGTGACTGTGCCATTATCTGCAAAAGTCTGAAAGCAAATCGTCTAGATCCCAGAATGCCATCTGGGAGCATGTCATTTTCACTGTAAGTAGCAGTGATAAATGTAGGTACTTTTGAAAGCTGCATTAACTCTTTCAGACACAGAGTATCATTGAGTTCAGTGAAGTAGTAGTTATGCAATTTAAGAAATGATTGCCTCTGTGCACTCATTTGTTAATGAGTGGCATCCCTGTGGCCTGAAAGAGTTAATGAATTTTTTTCAGAAGTACTCAGGATACAGCTCCCTGTGAAGTGAAATGGCGTATTTGATTGCTGATATTTTTAATAGCACAATGTAAAGGAAAGAGCTTCTATAAGCAGGTAGGCACTTTTTTTTTCACCAATCCTAGCTCTACTGTTACTTTGTTGTAACGTAATTTTTAAAAATATGAGGTATCATAAATACTTAATAACCTTAAATATGTTAATAAGTATAATGCTTATTATAAATGAGAGGCCTTATTATTATTTACTAGTAGAATTAATGGGCATAAGGCATGAAATAAACTGAAATTATAGTCTTCCTCTAACCTCAGTGGTAATAAACCAAACCCTTACAGTAATTGTTTAAAAATTATGAACCACTTATATTTCTAACATATATACTGCTCATTTAAACTGAGCCCTTGCTAAAGCCTTATGGATTTTTCAATTTTTTTAAGTAAAAATAAGATGAGCAGAACATGAAGCCTGATTTTTTATTAACCTGATGAACATTTTTATTATATAAAAATATGTTACTCACTTTATTTAAAAATCTACATGTAAATATTGGTGCTTCATCTTGCAAATGTATAAGTGTAATTCTCCTAAATTACACTGAAAACAGAAGATTTGGGCTTGTATCCTATTTTTTGCTGCTTCCTGGACAAGTTACTCTGTGCCTTAATTTGCCTAGCAATAGCATGGAACAACAAATCTTATTTTCCTCAACAAATTTTATATTTTCCCCGCTTGTTTCACAGAACTACCCTAGATATACAGTGAAATGTTCTTTAAGAGTTCTTTATAAGATTCTAAAGCTGTTATAAATGGTTAGAGTTGCTCTGAATATTGCAATGGGTTCTCATAGACACGTGTGCTGAAAAACATATTCCTTTGTCTGTTGCAGACAAGCAGAATGATGTGGAGATCCCATCTCCCACCCAGAAAGACAGGGAGAAAAAGAAGAAGCAGCAGCTCATGACCCAGATAAGTGGAGTGAAGAAATTAATGCATAGTTCAAGCTTAAACAATACAAGCATCTCACGCTTTGGAGTCAACACTGAAAATGAAGATCACCTGGCCAAGGTGTGTATGAGCTCAGTTTTTGCGCATGTAGCTCTCTGCTTTACAGCAGACAGATGATCATATACCTTTTAGAAAATAGTAGGGATTGCTTTTGCATTATTATTAAGTTTTGCGTTAGGGAAGTTCATATGAAATGAGTTTGCTGTGAGCAGTAAGGCCTCTGAAAGCTGTCATTAGAGGAAGGTTGATTAAACATTAGGCCAAGTCTGAAGGGAAAGCCTGGATCTCTTACTCTGGCTAGTTATTAAGAATGAAATAAATTGGTCTTTAAATCAGATAACCTTGGAATAATCCTGCAACACAGGCCTAAGTGATGTTTCTTCCAGGTCCATCTGTGGCCCAGGAGCCCTAGGATGTAATTAATGACTGGCATTCTTCATGATCTTTTACATTAAATTGGGTTGACTTATGCACATTCTGACAGCTGAATCTTCCTGATCTGGCTTTCAGTGAGGATAACCAATGGGCAGAGGAGTTTTCCCTGAGACTGTTTTCCAGTTGTTACTAATGGGCCAGTAAACAGCAAGAGGAGAGACAGGGAAATATTCACTTGTGGCCACCTTTGAAAGCAACATTGGTTGAGGACTGATGCACGTGCAATATAGGTCAGCAACTGAATTGATAAATGCATACTCTGCTTTTTCTGAATACAAAATGTTCAGAAACTTGTAGCTATCATGAAGAGGACACTCGACCTCTTAGGCCATTTAACTTTCAGATTTTTGTGCAACTAAAGCACTCTAAGGAGACACTCTAAAGACTTAAGCAACCCGTGTCCAAAAAATAAATTAAGAGATGAGTCATATTAGCACAACTGCCCTTGTTTCTAAATTCCTCTAAATTTTTAATTATAGGAGCTGGAAGACCTGAACAAATGGGGCCTTAACATCTTTAATGTGGCCGGATATTCCCACAATAGGCCCCTAACATGCATCATGTATGCTATATTCCAGGTGAGTGAACAGGAGTGAATACTGGCTTTCCAACTGGATGGCTCTTTATGATTTTTTTTTCCATCTTACTTTTCTGATTTAACTTTCCTCCACCTTCGGACATCTACTTATTTATGTTCTAATCCATTTTACAACATAGGAAAGAGACCTCCTAAAGACATTCAGAATCTCATCTGACACGTTTATAACCTACATGATGACTTTAGAAGACCATTACCATTCTGACGTGGCATATCACAACAGCCTGCACGCTGCCGATGTAGCCCAGTCGACCCATGTTCTCCTTTCTACACCAGCATTAGATGTGAGTAGTTATGATCCGTTTTGCGTTCCTGACCATCCTTCTCCAAAAATGCCATGCTAGCTGGATGTAGTAGCTACTCGGGAGGCTGAATTGGGAGGACTGCTTGAGCCCAGGAGTTCAAGGTTACCGTGAGCTATGATTGCTCCCCTGGACTCCAGCTTGGGCAACAGAGCGAGACCCTGTCTCTAAAAAACAAAAAAAGTGCCTTACTATATGCAATATACTTACAAAAATAATGTAATTAGACCACCCTGCATGCTTGAACTGGTTCTTTGTAAGATGTATAGCGTCTATTCACTGAGTTATTTATAAAAAAATGAATGACATTTCTACTTGCTTTGCTTTCTAATATCAGCATAATCTTCCCTTCACATCTCTCACAATTAAAGGTTGTTCAACAATAAAGCAATTAACAGAATTTCAGGGCAGGAATCATGTCTTATTCTTCATTGTCTTTCTAGTAAGGGATGCAGTGTATCTCAAAGTGTCTTGTTCAGTGTCTGGTAGATAGTATAGTCTCAATATGCAATTACTGATCTGAACTGCCCAACACCACCCCAGGCGTATACTGAGCATTATATCACCAGGGGTTTATCACAGAAATATAAAATATTCTCTATATTTCCTATTAGTAATAAGCATCCCGAGGCTTATTCTTCTAAAAATTTATAAAATGGATTCTATGTGTTGAAGAAGTAGTCATTGAAAATCTAGAACAGAAGAATTAATAATGCTGAAACAGAGAGAAACAATATTCAAATCTGCCATACCAAACCTGAGAAGGTGGCCGTGGCTCCTTCCTTCATAGATTAATGCATTTGTGTATACCGATATAATCAACAGTGTGTACAGCAGGTCATACTCTTACTTGAGAAATGAAAATGATGGTCAGGTACTCCCAAAATGTGCTGGACTACTGCAGGAAGGGACTGGCCATGCCCTATCCAGCCCCACCTTTACAGATTCAGTTTGGAAGGCGAGAAAAAAGATTGACCACAACCCTATTGCTTGAGTTGCATATTATCAAAGAAAAGAAATCCAGGTGGTCTTGAGAAAGTGAGATGGAGCTAAGGGTGTTGCTCCCTCTGAAGGAGAGAAACAGTACTGTTTTTATACCCTGTATAAGTATCATAGAGTGAGCCAACACTATTCATCAACTGCCTGCTGTTATCAATAGTACTGTGTGGCCAGGAATTGGCATGAGTGCTGCAAACTTTTTAGAAAAGGGAGAGTTCAATGAGTGCTTGAGTAATGGGATTGGTCTTTATAGGAGAAGTGAAACCCACCTCAAGCTGACATTTGAAGGACCAGAAGATTTTTTTTTTTTTTTATTTGAGACGGAGTTTCACTCTTGTTACCCAGGCTGGAGTGCAATGGCGCGATCTCGGCTCACCGCAACCTCTGCCTCCCGGGTTCAGGCAATTCTCCTGCCTCAACCTCCTGAGTAGCTGGGATTACAGGCACGCGCCACCATGCCCAGCTGATTTTTTATATTTTTAGTAGAGACGGGGTTTCACCATGTTGACCAAGATGGTCTCGATCTCTTGACCTCGTGATCCACCCGCCTCAGCCTCCCAAAGTGCTGGGATTACAGGCTTGAGCCACCGTGCCCGGCCCAGAAGATTTAACTAATCAGAGAGGATGAGGAAATAAATTTCAGCCCTAGAATGAGCACCAGTATATACTTTATTAATATTAGGTTTGAATCACTGTGCATAGGTCGTGGCAGAGAAGCCTTCCTGACGTGACATGAAGGAGTTGAGCAGTGGGGTTTCAGGTTTCACTTCTTAGGAAGGTTCTCAAATCTTGCCCATAGTAAATGATTAGTGGATACATATCGAATGAATGAATAATATCTAAAAGCTGTGACCACACCATCAATTTAGCTTTGGGAAATAATTTATTGCTTATCTCATGATCGGAAATTTGGCCACTTTTCTCCAAGTTATACAGCTGAGAGTATATGAAGGTGGTTATATCTCAGAGCAGAGCACAGTCTGACTTGCTTCTTTGACTCGTATGAGCTTGTGTTACATAAGCACCATGCTGCCACATCACTGGCCCAAGAAACAAACATTAGATTGTTACACACACCATGAGATTTGTGCTCATGTCTTTCCAAGCATCAGCCTTTAGGCTTGATATGAGACTGAGCTTTGGCCGTCATTTCTTTAACATCAGAGACTTTATGATGATGAACAGAAACTACATTTACTTAAATTAATATATTGAGATATTACATAAATGAACAATCCCTCTCCCAACAAAAAATAAAATACTTTGCAAATGAAATTGAATAAGCAGGATAGGTAGATTGGATGTGGAGTTAAATGTGTTTATTTGCCCGACAGGCTGTCTTCACAGATTTGGAAATCCTGGCTGCCATTTTTGCAGCTGCCATCCATGACGTTGATCACCCTGGAGTCTCCAATCAGTTTCTCATCAACACAAGTGAGTTCACCACTAGAGCAGTCATTCCAGATAATTGTATGATTCACTGCTTAATTTTTTTTCCTCCTGATGTTTTCATTATGGATAATCACAAGGATAATAATGAGGCAATCCTTCCATTCCTCTCAAACTGGTCAGGCCTTTCCTGGATACTTGGTCCAGTCTGGCAACACAATGTTTGAGCTTCATGAAGAACTTGGAGAGGGTCACAGGGAACCATAAAAAGTACTCAAAGTTTGGCAATACAATATGTAAGGAAAATATAACAGATAGGGAATTATTCAGTAAGAACAAGAAAAGGTTTGGGGATCACATGATAAGGACTTTTGATATTATGCAAAACTCGTACAGAGCATAGTAAATCACTACTGCCCCTATCTGCCTGGGAGGCAGCTACAAATGTTGAATCTGAGCATGGGAACTTCCAAACAAAAATAAGGTTCCATAAAAAGCCCTGGAATGAGTTTCCACAGTTCAGAAGGAAGGGTCATTAAAAGTTCCACACATTTTCTTCCAACTGCATAGATTTGATTATGGATTAGGAGTAGCTATGGCCTCAGTGACCAAGGATGGTCCAGCCTTAAGATCCCAAGCCATACTCAAAGGTTTTTTCATGCTTAAAATGTTTAGTTTTCATACCTTTGAAAATCCATTCATTCTCTCAAATAATACACTAAGTAGTGGAAATCTAAGTACTTCGAAGATATTGGCTATTCCACTGTGGTCATGAATAACATCAAGTACTGACAGTTTTCTAGAAATGCGTTTTGAGCTATTGGCTGTAAAAAAGTCCTGATCATTAGTCGTTGACCTTTATCCAAAGAATATCTGAATGATCTGGGTTTGGAGTACCCTGGGTTCTTTTACTTCATTCTTCTATTGAATGAGCAAAATGTTGGGGCAGCTACTTGTCTGCATGGGTTATATCAGTTGGTAGAGTGTGGTGTCATGAATTAATCCATATATAAGCCAGTTAGCCTCACACAGAAAAATGGTCTTCTTACTACAGTCACCTATAGCACTGCAACATATAAAGCTTGCTTACAGATCAGTGCCCTTGATCATAGGTTGAGCAAAACAAGAGTACTCATCTGAGGCTGTAACTCAGAGCACACTGTTAAGGCAATGATATATGCACAACATCACCTGCAATGAATTTATACATTACCACCACTTGTCTGGTATTGTTGATTAAGAGAAAATGTAGTTTCATAAGTCTGACAATCATATTCCCAAGCAGACTTCTAACAAAAGATGCCTGTGATTCTTCCATATAAAGGCAGGCTGGCAGCTGCAGCTTGGGTTTCCAGAAATTGCAAATTCTGGTGAAAAGAGCCAGAAAATTTAACATCAGAAATGTTCCCTAAAAAGTAGTAATGTTTAGTATCATATTAATAGAAAGCTCCAAAAAGTGACATTATTTAAGTAAAATGAGGTTTCATGCATTGTTTTCGACAATCCAAAATTCACAATTGCCAGAGATTAGAGAACATATAAAATGTGAATATAGCTTGAAAATCTCAATACAGTTCATAAAGTTTAGTGATACTTTCATGTTGTGCTTTTCCAAAGTACAAAATTTTTGAAGACACATAAAAATAGGATTTAACTGCTCAGGAATGCCCTTACCTAATATTAAATTCCTCATCTGAGATATGCAAGGAGCAAAAGGATTTTAAAATACAATGAATTTTAATCACAGAGAAAGCTTATATACCAGTAGAAGCATTTTTTGCTTAGAAACAACTTCTGTTTGTAACGGGCCACTCCTTCTCTACGAGGAAATGAGATGTAGCTGGTGGTTCTTGAAATAATGTGGAGAGAACTAGGTCTGATTTCACTTTGAGATAATGCCAACATTCAAATCATAGCCCTTTCTTATTAAGTCATCATTTTGTCTGATTTATTAGATTCAGAACTTGCTTTGATGTATAATGATGAATCTGTGTTGGAAAATCATCACCTTGCCGTGGGTTTCAAACTATTGCAAGAAGAACACTGTGACATCTTCATGAATCTCACCAAGAAGCAGCGTCAGACACTCAGGAAGATGGTTATTGACATGGTAAGACTTCAGCCTCTCTACGTTCCCCACTTATTGCCATTCTCTCTGATAGACTGAACTTATTAACAGTTTTCATTTTCTTTTTACCCAAGGTGTTAGCAACTGATATGTCTAAACATATGAGCCTGCTGGCAGACCTGAAGACAATGGTAGAAACAAAGAAAGTTACAAGTTCAGGCGTTCTTCTCCTTGACAACTATACTGATCGCATTCAGGTATTTGTTGAAAGTCTTTTATTTAACGCAAAACCAAACCAAACTAAGCTGAACAACAATTAGAAAAAGAAAACAAAGATAAATTCCGTTATTTGTATATCCTAGGTTACTACTATGGCTTAGGGCTGATTTTAAGAATAAGCTAAGGAATATGGACATTCAAGTTTATGCTCTGATTTGTGAAGGAAAAAAACCCTATTTGTGGAATTGCTTATTAGTTCTATAAATAAATTGCAAAATCTATTTGTAATAGGGCATACGTGACTGTTGGTTCCAAAAGCTTGTGTTTGGATTTAAATCCTATTGACTTCAAGTTTGTTAGGTCTGTTTTGGATATACAAATTGCCATCAGCTGTTCCCCCCTTTCCACAAGTGGAAAATATGAAGTTATCTACTTTGAGTAATTCTTTGCATTCTTTCCAAACTGAGAAAAGGAAATGATAGCAGCATCTGACCTCTAATGTTCCTTCCCATTTTTAAACTCAGTGACTGTGAGTCTAAGAAGACACACATTTTCCCCCTTGGGACTCTATAAAGGCAAACAACTGACCCAGGCTAGCACCACTGTAATACTGTTTGTTCGGTGCATACTTCATAATTATAACGCCACTAAAATGTTCTCGGGTTTAGTACCAAGTGTGCTAGTATGAGAGGGATGAGATGTTCTGGCAGTATTTGCACCTAATTTTATGGGATTTCCAAAACTTGATGATTTCAGGTCCTTCGCAACATGGTGCACTGTGCAGACCTGAGCAACCCCACCAAATCCTTGGAATTGTATCGGCAGTGGACAGACCGCATCATGGAGGAATTTTTCCAGCAGGGAGATAAAGAGCGGGAGAGGGGAATGGAAATCAGCCCGATGTGTGATAAACACACAGCTTCTGTGGAAAAATCCCAGGTATCTAATATGAGATTTTCAAAGTTTTTGTGAAAATTTGAAAACTGTAGAGCTGGAGGGTTATATTTAGTTCCATTCTTCCAATAGAATATGTATAAATGAAACGATAAGGAAACAACTATGCATTTTGTTCTATTGTAGTCAGGACTCATGTGACTTCTCCATTATACTCAGTTCACAAGGTAGGGATAAAGTAGTTACCAGAAACCCATCAAAATGTGGACTATGTATCCCTAAATCATTTAGATCATTGCCTCTGATGTTAGCATATCCAGCTGAACGACCCGAACACTGGTGTCTCCTCCATCCCATCCCTGCGGATTTCTCCTAGCTCTGCCTTCATTCAAGAGCTCTACTCCTTGTCCTTGCTTCCAGCCCTCTGTTTTATTTTCTTTCCTTAATCAAGCCCACTGTGACCATCACCAGAGGCAGTCTCTTTTACCCTCTAGTCAAAGCCCTGTCTTGTGGCCCCTCCCAAGGATGCTGCTATGATTTTGAGAACATGCCAACATTTTCCAGTTGTGTCCAAAGCTACACATTCTCTGCGTGTTTAGCACAGAGAACAATACTCTGGAGGTGGTGGATACAGAAATGTCCAGATGCCAGTAGCTGCACAATATGCAGCAGTGGAAAGTATCAGTATCCCTACAAAGGCTTCCAGGCTCCCTGAAATACCAGCTTTTTCAAGAAAACAAATGGGCTGAGCCAAGTAGCTAAGATTGAGAATGAGTTCATAGATTGTCCAAGGTCTTTATCCCAAAAACATTTGGATTGTTTTTTGTCAGTATTTATCCACTTTCCCTACTACTTGCAAACCCCAAATTTGCATATAGTTGTAATAATGTACAGTTCCTTTGCAATTTTATTTTGTGGCTTCTTAGAGAAACCCAACTAAATGAGTTTTAAAATCTGGAAGTGCTCTGAAGCTAATATGCTGTAAAAATGCAGGACAACATTGTTAATGAGGGTCAGTTCAAACAGCCCAAAGGCTTAAGTGGAACAAGATATGAATCGGTAAGGAGGAATAACACCCTTTCATTAATGGCAGTGATGTTTTATGTTTATATGATGTCTGTGGAGCATTTCACACATTTTGCATATATTTTCCTACTTGGATCCCCAAACAACCTTGCAAGATAGATAAAGCGGATATTTCCCCAGCATGTCAGGTACAAAGCTGTCCTCTTGGTTCACTACCGAAGGTGTCTCCATCCAACGCTCTTCACTCTCCATCTCAGGGACAAGTCTTCCTGTTGCCGTGACTTCGTTACCCACTCTTGTATTTCCCACCGATGGGCTCTGCTGAATACTGTCTGATTAGCCCAGCAGTAAAGCTCTTTACTGGGTGCTTTCAGGATCTGTACAGCTCTCTCGTCCTCTGATCTAGGAAATAAATAACTAGCAGCTATCTCTGAAAAAAATTCTCAGCATTTCTTAGCAGAAACAAAACAAGTGAAGAAAGGAAATGACTGCACTGTGTTCAACTTATTTAATTTTCTCCATTGCCTTGAGCTTGTTATTTTGGCTCCCTGGAAAACACCTTGAAAATAGTCTCTAGCATTCATTAAGCACACATAAAGAAGTAAAGGGGAAGGAAAAGGAGTGGGTGTAAGTGAGAGAAATATCTGAATCATGTACAGTTGAGTTTTATAACCAGTGCAGATCAGAGATGCCCTGACTTTGCTGTGAATCTTGCTTTTTGAGGCTAGGAATGCACCAGAAAGAAGAAAATGAAAAAAAAAATATATATATATATATGCATTATACATATATACATATATATATGTATTATGTATGAAAGAGTCCCATATGACCAAAATTCTCATGTACAGTACAACTTGGATGTATTAAATGACCAGCCAAATACCAACATATTAATAAAGAGAAGTTTGTAGCAGTGTTGAAAGAGACCTATATAACGTCCCATGGGTGGGTGCCCTTTGCCCATCTACCCCTAAATCCCAACCCAGCATCTCTCTAGCTCCCCAGACCATGGCAGGGGAATTCCATTCCCTCATTCAACTAGTGTCTATTCTTTCTACTTGTCCCCACCCCCAGTGTTTCCTGTTTGTCCAACAATGAGGAGGCCAGCATAAGGCCACACTGCTAGCTCATGCAGGATGCATAGCCTCTGAGTAAACCATAACAGACCCATAAGCCTGGTATTTAATCACAGGAACACCAGCAAAAGGAACTGCTTAATTGTTTTTTATTTTCTCTTCTTTCTCCTGATGGAAATGACTGTGTGCTCTGTAGATCCAAAACAATTGCATATATGTCCACCGAGGGGATATGTGTTTCTCAGGACTTGACGTAGTTTCAAGTGTTTCATCAAACTCCTCTACCAGCCAAAAGCACTCCACAGAATTTGAGAAATTCCAGAGTAGTCAGGGGCCAGCTCCTCATCACTTTGGAATAGCAACATATTTTAAAGTTAACAAGAAAAAAATATTGAGTCAAAACACGTTAGACCTGGGTCTGCCTTCTTCAGAAAATGACTCACAGAATCCAAGTAGTGTAGTGACAAAGTCATTCCTAACGCTGGTTCCATCCAGACTTCTTATCTGGCACACATAAAAGGAAATGCAGTCTGCTGTAGTGAGATGAACACAGGCTTTGGAATCAGACGAAACTGGGACTGAGTCCCAACTCCAGCACTTGCTAGTTCTGTGACCTCTGACAAGATACTTAATCTCAGTAAGTCATAGTTTCCGCCTTTGTAAATAGTAAACAGCAATACTTACTTTACAGGATTAAGAGAGAGAGACTACATCTATTGCATTCAGTGTAAGACCCACCGTATAGTGAGTGCCCAAAACATAGAATCCATTATGACTGGTTTTTCTGAAGCCGTTAATGTTCTTTCTTTGCATGGAAACCAGGACAGCTCGTTTACATTTCAAGCACCATCACAATAACGGATGTTTAATTTGGTTTTTCTCCAGGTTGGTTTTATCGACTACATCGTCCATCCACTGTGGGAGACCTGGGCAGATTTGGTACAGCCTGATGCTCAGGACATTCTCGATACCTTAGAAGATAACAGGAACTGGTATCAGAGCATGATACCCCAAAGCCCCTCACCACCACTGGACGAGCAGAACAGAGACTGCCAGGGTCTGATGGAGAAGTTTCAGTTTGAACTGACTCTTGATGAGGAGGATTCTGAAGGACCTGAGAAGGAGGGAGAGGGGCACAGCTATTTCAGCAGCACAAAGACACTGTGTGTGATTGATCCAGAAAACAGAGATTCCCTGGGAGAAACTGACATAGACATTGCAACAGAAGACACATCCCCAGTTGACACATAATCCCCCTCTCCCTGTGGAGATGAACATTCTACCCTTGATGAGCATGCCAGCTATGTGGTAGGGCCAGCCCACCATGGGGGCCGAGGCCTGCACAGGACAAGGGCCATCTGGCTTTTCAGTTACTTGAGTTTGGAGTCAGAATGCAAGACCACGAAGCGAATAGCAGCTCAGGAAATCCCACGGTTGACTTGCCTGGCTGGCAAGCTTGGTGGAGAGGGCTGAAGCTGTTGCTGGCGGCCGGTTCTGACCATGATACATGGCTTGAAAATGGAAGACACAAAACTGAGAGATCGTTCTGCACTCATTTCGGGAACCTATCCCCGATAGTGACTGAACTCACTGACTAATAACTTCATTTATGAATCTGCTCACCTGTCCCTTTGTCTGCCAACCTGTGTGCCTTTTTTGTAAAACATTTTCACGTCTTTCAAATGCCTGTTGAATACCTAGAGTTTAGTATCAACTTCTACACAGATAAGCGTTCAAAATTGACAAAACTTTTTGACTCTTTCTGGAAAAAGGAAAGAAAATAGTCTTCCTTCTTTCTTGGGCAATATCTTTCACTTTACTCCAGTTACTTTTGCAAGCAGACAGAAAGGATACACTTCTAACCACATCTCACTTCCTCCTCCACAGTCACTCTTATAACTTATCTCTGTTTGCCTGCCTCCAGCAGTATTTTTTCTCCTGTGGAGTTTAACTTTTTTCTGTAAACACAATAAAATTGAACAAATTAGGAGGTAGAAAGGGGCAGTTGTGTCGCTCGCCGTGAGCGTCCGCATAGAGCTCAGCAGTGTGCCCGGCTGTCTCAGACCCCCCACCGCAGGAGCTGTACATTCCGTGTCCTGTTCCCTACCTCCTCTCTTCACCCGGTTACGCTGTTTTCAATGTAATGCTGCCGTCCTCTCTTGCACTGCCTTCTGCGCTAACACCTCCATTCCTGTTTATAACTGTGTATTTATTACTTAATGTATATAATGTAATGTTTTGTAAGTTATTAATTTATATATCTAACATTGCCTGCCAATGGTGGTGTTAAATTTGTGTAGAAAACTCTGCCTAAGAGTTACGACCTTTTCTTGTAATGTTTTGTATTGTGTATCATATAACCCAAATGTCACTTAGGAGAGACATACAGCCCCCTTGGCAGAGAGGACAGGGGGTGGGGGTGTGGGCTTTTGTTCAGAGGGTCTGCCCTTTCTTTCCCTGCCTGAGTTGCTACTTCTGCACAACCCCTTTCTGAACCGGCTTTGGAAACAAGATTCTCACATTAGATACTAAATGGTTTATACTCAGCTTTTACTTTTGTATAGTTTGATAGGGGCAGGGGGCAATGGGATGTAGTTTATACCCAGGTTCTGTCCAAATCTGTGTAGGCATGAGTTGGGTTCTAGCTGGATCCTCCTATCATTATGGCTTTGGTTCAAAAAGCAACACTACATTTGCCTACAGATGATTCTTCTGAATGCTCCCGAACTACTGACTTTGAAGAACTAGCCTCCTGCCTGCCATTAAGCAGGAATGTCATGTTCCAATTCATTACAAAAGCAAACAATAAAACAATGTGAATTTTTATAATAAAATGTGAACTGATGTAGCAAATTACGCAAATGTGAAGCCTCTTCTGATAACACTTGTTAGGCCTCTTACTGATGTCAGTTTCAGTTTGTAAAATATGTCTCATGCTTTCAGTTCAGCATTGTGACTCAGTAATTACAGAAAATGGCACAAATGTGCATGACCAATGGGTTTGTATGTCTATGAACACTGCATTGTTTCAGGTGAACATTTTATCGTTTTCAAATGTTTCTCACAATGTATGTTATAGTATTATTATTATATATTGTGCTCAAATGCATTCTGAAGAAACTTTTATATGAAGTGAATAAACAAAATCATGATTAGATTAGTCTGTAGGCCCAGTTATTTCACGGTTGGGTCTGACGTATGAAAAGCAGATCTTTTCTCTTCTGCCATTCCCCACAAAGAAAGCCAACCACTTTGTCCAGCCAATATCACAACTGAAGTTTTAGAATCTATGTCCAAAAAGTCCCCTAGTTTGGAACATTACTCTTTTTCTTAGCAACTGTTCACCCAGCTCAATGATGCAGGAAGGGGGTTGAGGAAGGGAAACAAAACCACTTTGCTCGTCTCGAACAGTTTCCTTCTACCTCTTTAAAGAGTCTGAAGAGTTTAATCTAGATAAATAAAGGGAATCCCCAACTTGACTGGGTCCTCTAGAAAGTGAATCATAGATTATAGAACATTAGTATAATGCAGTCAGAGAGTCCCATTGATTCATTTGACACATAAAGAATCTGAGATCCAAAGAGTCATCTGAAACCACAACCCACAGAGCATGGGTGGACACTCAGGTTTTCTCAGTGATCCATGCAGCCTCTTGTTGCTCATATGGCTATGATTTTCTTTCTGGAAATAACTGTTTATAAGAAAAATACTTAAATGCTTTGTTGAAACCTTAAAGTCAGCGTTTTAAAATATTTTATCCCGAGAAGGGTGCATGTTTGTGTGTGTGTACGTATGTGTATGTGTGTGTTTGTTGCAGAATGTTGCAAACAAGAATCAGTGTTGGCCCATGATAATTTAGCCACAAGGAGATGCTCTGTGAACCAGTAAGAGGGTCTTCCCTAAACGCAGCTGAAATTAAGATGAGCCGACATTACAAACCAGCTTGCCTGCTGATTGCAGAGCTATTTCCAATACTTTCCATCATCTCTGATTTCTGACCGCACCCCCACATCTCTGAGAGTTTGAAATGGAGCAAGGTAAATTGCTTACAATAGCCATAGTTGTGAATAATGCCTAGAGCTATAAATATTCACAGGTCTGTTTTCTACTGAGAAGAGGTTCTTAAATAACCCTTGTTGCAAATAAGAATCATTTGGGAAATAAACATTTTTTAGAATACTTGGAGCCTATCCTCCTCCCAGATTTATGATTGAATTGATCTTGGTTGAAGCCCTGGCCATCAGATTTTTTAAAGTTTCCCAGGCTAAAGTGAAGTGGCACAATCTTGGCTCACTGCAACCTCTACCTCCCAGGTTCAAACAATTCTTGTGCCTCAGCCTCCCATGTAGCTGGTACTACAGGTGTGCGCCACCACGCCTGGCTAATTTTTTGTTTCTTAGTAGAGATGGGGTTTCACCGTGTTGCACAGGCTACTCTCAAACTCCTGCGCTCCAGCAATCTGCCCACCTCAGCTTCCCAGAGTGCTAGGTTTGCAGACATGAGGCACTGCGCTGAGTGTCTCCCCAGGTAATCTTAATGTGCAATTGGAGTAGAGACCCGCTGCTCCGAAACAAAGAATCATGCCTGCAGCTGAGGTGTTCTTTCACCCCCACTATCTTCAGATATCCATTGTGCACTCATCATGGCCAGCATATCATGCCCAGTAATGGCTATTTTAAACAGTAATTTTTGTTATATCCCAGTTTTATCTTACTGGCTGACTTCTAACCTAACTTCTAGGTAAGCTGAAACTGCATAGTTTCACCAGATTCCTATATGGAAATCTCAAGAACCAGGCCAGACCTCAGGAGTCCAACCTAACTGTAACCTTCGTGAGTACAGAAACCATGCCTAGTACTTTCTCCTCCGTTTTCACTATGCCTAGCATCATACCTGGAACAGCGTTCATGCTCAAACATTTGTTGAGTAATCTGGATGTTGATGATGTCAAACTTCAATTAACAGGAAAGTCAGAAGAATGCACATTCTAGGCAATTTAACTTTCAGTTTCTCTCGCTTGATTGCAATGATCTGTTTTCAGATGCCTCCCCATGCAGCACCGAGCTCTCTCCAAGACAGAATAATGTTTTTTGCCTGGTCTCTTTTTTAACCTTTGTGTTCTTCACCAACAAACGCTATACTCGCCCTTAGCAAAAGGAGAACCAGTGATGTTTGTTGAGCTAATAACCCAAGACACAAGTAGAACACTTTCTATTGAAATTACTTGTAAAATATGAATCTACTTGATTTTCTTGCGGAGGAATAGAGTATACCGGGAAAAACAGAGTTTGACAAACCTATGTTCCATGCCTTTCCCTGTACCTTCCTAGCAGTGGAAATTTGTGCAAACTGCTTAAATTTTTGAGCCTAAATTTTCTCATTATTAAATGGAGCTAACGATAAACAGCCAAAGCTAAAACCAGGTATAGCATTACATACAGTAGATGCTCAATAAATCTTTGTTATCTGAATGTATGTACTCATGGATAAAGGGATTAATATTTTAAAACTTCTAAAAATCACCTCTAAAAGCAGAAGGCAGCAACACATTTTGATTAATTTAGGGTTCTTGAAATTAAGTTCCAGTTAATCTAGATTTTCGTACATCCACTTCCTATGTGTATTTTTCTACATGCACATAGAAGGATAAATGCTCTCACTTCAATCCATCATATGGGACTATGCTGACACTGACAGGCTTGCTGAGTTGGGAGGAAACTTGTAAATCATATTACTCCTCCTTTTCCATGCTATAGAATCCCTCCAGAAACAGGCCTATTTGAAAGCATCAGGTAATAGATAACTCAGCAAGGCCCTTTTGAAATAATGTAAATTATTAGGTTTCTGGGAATCGAATTGTACTCTTCTAGAGCAGCCTTTCTTGTTTGATTTTTTAAAAACATTTCTACCTAATAATGTATGTAATTCCCCCTTTAATTTCCTGTTTCAGTTGAAAATAGGAGCCAGACTTTTTGACTATGTGACCTCAGGAAAGTGTATATGACCTCTATGGACCTCAATTTCCTCATCTGTAAAACAGAGGTAATAATAACAGCACCTATTTAATAAGATTATCTTGAGAATTAAATGAATTAAAGCTGAAAAATAGTAAAACTAGTGTCTGGCTCATAGTATGCATGAAGAAATGTTAATATGTAGCTAAAGGTAGCATGTTTTCTACACTGTAGCTCCTTCAACCATTATTCATGTGACTTATCTTCACCATTCTAGTCAAATTATTCTGGGCTTGCACAAACAGACAGTGCTCTTTTAGGATGAGCACCTCAGAACCAAGCACCATACTTCACTCACGGTAGGGCATGGTAGGGCACAGCGTGACTCTTGCTTTTCTTTGTTCTGGGATCTGTTCTTTAATCCAAGATTGTATTCATTTGGAAGGATGTCAGTGACTCACCTGGATAATCCATAAGACGCTTACGGGCAACAAAACCCTTCACTCCTTTTCACATAAACCACTGTTAAACTAAATCATCTCCACTTTGTTCTTATACAGTTAACTTTCTGAATTTTAGTGCAGAATGTATACTTCTCTGATACATTTCATCTGAAAAACAAGTAGGGTATGGGAAAGAGTGTTTTCAGCTTGAGTGTCAGATTGACCTATTTGTAAATCCCAGCTCCAGCACTACCTGTGCAGCCTCATAGAAGGTATGCAATTTGTCTGATGTTCAATTTCCTTTCCTGTAGGAGAAATATCATCCACATAAAAAATAATTTGGAAAGGCAAAGGAAAGCATCTAGCCCATTCAGGGCATACAATAAATGAGGGTTATTAGTAATATTAATACCCCACTATGATGATTAAATGAGATAATATGTGCATGGAAAAAAATCCTCATATTACTGTTTTTAGTTCATTATTTTTGGCCTAAAACTCATTTTGAATTCTGATCCCGATAACTCACAAACTACGTCCTTCCTGACAGAATGTGTTATCTATATCTTTGACAATAATGTATTTTATATTTTTATTTACACTTTAGTAAAATGTTAACCAGAACAGGACAAGGAATAGATATGTGTTAAGCTGCCAAAAGTCTTCCTCATCAGCAATGAATCATTAATCAATGTCCCATGGGTAATGGCACTACATCGATTATAAATTCACCTATGTACACCATCACCTAGGCCAGTCTGGACAAAAACATATCAGGAAAAATGTGATTAAAGACTTTTCTGAAATTCAGATATACCATGTGTAAAGCATTTGCCTTCTTGTATAATCTATTAGACCTAACTGAGAAAAGAGACTATGATAGCTTGACTTGTCCTAAGGGAATTAATGCTAGTTACTGCCCTCTCAAATGGCCTGCAAACCATGAGCTAATAATCCATTCCAGAATTCTCCATACAACTGATGTCATGCTTGACATTGTGTAGTGCTGGATTCTTTCTTTCTAAAGAGTGGGAAAATATTTGCCTATCACACACCCCCAGATTTCTAGTCTGTGTTCTCTCTGATTTCTGGTAGATCACCAATTATAAGCCAAAAACACATTCAAAAGCCCTTTCAGCATCATGGGAAATGATGCACCTAGAAACATGAAACTTCTTACAGACAGAGCTGCTCTTCCAATTCCTCTTTGCTTTATGTGGCAAGCCTAGCAGAAGCACATGATATTTGTGCAGGTGGATATAAGTTTAAAATTTATATACTTTTAATTGAAGAACACTGTCTTCTTCCACCAAATACAGTTTCATAAAGGATCCTCACTGAGTAGAGAAGGATGACTGGGGAATCTACCTAATTAGAATGGGTTCTTTAGAATCTACCATTGCTTAATTCAGTAGACATGTTTTGAGTCCTGAATACTTTCCGGCACTGTTCTGAGACATTGCCCCTACATCTTATGTATTGGAGTATATACGAAAACGGATGTACAAACAAAAAACTTCAGTAGCAGTATAAGAAATGTTGACTAAAGGAACACATAAAGAACACAAAAATGGGAGTATCTGACTTCTTTGGAAGAGTAAATTAGGGAACATTTCTGGTAGAAGGACAAGGTTGAGTCTTTAAGAATGTGTAGAAAGCTGTCAATAGACCTGGATCAAGAGACAAAGAGCAGGAAGACGTTTGTTACAGGAGGAAGGAAGAGCATGTACAAAGTAGAGAATAGGAAAGAGTATTTTTGA